CTCTCTCTCTCTCTCTCTCTCTCTCTCTCTCTCTCTCTCTCTCTCTCTCTCTCTCTCTACCTGCCAACTTGAGTAAAAGCCGTCCCTTCACTCAACACCAGGACCTGGATCAGTTCGCGAGGGTTTGCACCAGTGACGTTGCTTTCCCTTCTCATCTCAGTGGCTATATAAAATCAAAACAAAAAACAAAAAAGGAGAAACTTGACTTGAAAGGCAAATTCAGTCGAGCGGAATATTAGGCTCAAAGTTTAAACGATGAAAAGGCGGATGTCATTTTCTTCCCTGCGATATTTGCATGCATATCGTTCAATGAGCTGGATGGATTATTGAGCGATGAGCAAAAGCTCTGTAAAAAATGCTGCTTTCCAGTGTTTTATTTTTCTACAGGTTTGACGCCGGTGGCTTTTCGTGGGATAAAAAACTGTGCTCGAAGGAGTTTTTCCTATGGTGTCGCCATTACTGTCATTCTGCAGCTCATGGGCGGAACATGATATATATTCTCAGCTGAGAGTGGATGTTACATCAGTGAGCTTCTGTGTCAGTATCGACAAGCTCTATCAATCTATGACAAGCCATCATGCATTCGTTCTTAGGACTCCTCGCGTTGTTTGCTGTGTGGGCGTTCGTTGAGTCTGTTCCCAACAACAGTAGCGCGTGAGTAGTAGTAACCTTCTCGTTGATCAAAGACGAACGTTACAAACGTAATGACGAATGTTATAAACGTAACTTTTAACACCTTATGTTATTCGTATACTACGTCATGTCTTAAATATTTTAGTAGACGGATGTTATGATAAGATCTCTTTATTATTGAAAACCATTCTACTAATTGAGTGGCTTTTACGTTTGGCTGTATAATATAAATTTTAATGCTTAAAATCAAATTTTTGAGGCATAGATTCAGGTTACAAAAGTAAAATTAAGTCTGTATGATTGTCAACAGCTTAACTGTATCCCACGATTCTTAATCCTGGTTTTTTCTATGCTTTGCTTAAAAAATTGTCTACTTTGAAGACTTAAACCTTCTAGGTTTACCGCTATTTCTACTTACCTGTTCCTTGATTCCGCCTTCTTTGCCGGGATTATTATCAACTTTTCTATCTAGCTTGTCCTTAATACGTGCATACCATTACCAATAATTATTTTGAATACATATCTTTTTATCCAGCTCTTGTCTTTCTTTTTTTGTGGTAGATTTCATCTTTATATCTAGGCTTCTACTTGCTAATCGGTTCCCCATCATATATCCCAACGTAAACTGGCTAGATCTATGTGCTTTCTTTTTCTTTCGCACTCTGTTCTTTTCAACTGCACTGGCCTTAACGTAATGATGAATATTATTATACTTAATTCGTTCTCTTTCATCAAATGCTCAAAGTGTTGTTTGCCATGGAATCCGTTTTTATTAATATAATGTAGGATACACGATAACGGTCCTCGGACAAATAATGTCATGAGTGCGAATAATTTCGTTTACTATTATATCATTTTTCGTATTGTCCGTTCTCACGGCAACCACATATAAAATGAATTTATTTCACGCTCCCAAATCTCAAAAGTGAGGGTTTGTAGGCTGCCATGTTATAATACGGACTACTTATTTTGCATTCATTTGGTAGGGTGTTTCTGCCGGTCCTCTTTCTGTTAATATTTCAATATGGCCATTGTCATTGAGCGTGTGCTTTTTATTAGCTCTCTCTTTCTCTCTCTCTCTCTCTCTCTCTCTCTCTCTCTCTCTCTCCATCTATCTCTCTCTCTCTTTCTCTCTCTCTCTCTCTCACACACAC